CAGCAGGAAACAGAAGCTTGATTCTGATCAAGACATTATTAAAGCACATTCGTTGAACAAATACGAATTATCCTAAATGTAGCATATTAATATATTATCTATCATGATGTATCAGCAGGGACGGATTCCGTCTAAACGGGCGTGATTCCGGCCCTCTTTTCCTTCTTTTTTTTAATTTATAAATATTGTGCATGTTAACTCTAATTTTTATTTAAAATGTAATCTTCTTATTCATTAACATATCAAAATTTATTTACATTCAATGCTTTGATTATTAAATCTATCCTAACGTATTAGTTGTATATATGAGGACGGATTAATTGGGGAGTAAGTGTGGAACTCAATCCTCCTTAATTCTCTTTTTAACTTCATGCATAAAATCTTTATTTTATGTATAAAAAAAAAAGAGTTTTAAAATTTATTAATTGATTTTAGCTTAAATAAATATTTATTACTTGTAATTTATATTTTTTTTATTTTTGTATGCACAATTATATATATAAAGAGAGAAAAAAAATAAATTAAACGATATAACTTTTATCAATTATTATATTATTTAATAATTTTATATTAAATATGAATTTTGTTAATATAACTGTTAAGTTATAATTTTATATCACCTTGTATGTGTATATTAAATTTTATTAAAGTTGAATAACAATTTAAAAGTAATTAAAGTGTTCAAGTTTTAATATATTTTATTTTATAAGTATGAGATATTAAATTATTTTTTATTAATATAAAATTATATATATATTTATTTATTATAATGCAAATGTGGCTAATAGAACTTCAATTCATTACAACACCTGTTGTGTTGCATATAATTTGTGTCATGTAAACACATTGTAATAGAGACTAAAATCAAATAAAAAGACTAAAATGGAAATAATAAAGGCTAAATAATTATACAAATTAAAAAATTTATAAAAATATATTGATCATACACATTATTTTATTTGATTTAGTTGTCATCATTATTTATTGACTTGAAAAAAAAAATTAAATGACTTCAAATATGTTAAATATGAGTTAGATCTCAATTAGCCATATTAGCATTTAAATGAAAAAATTTAATAACAAAGATACACACATTATTTTTTTTTTCTTAAATATAAAAAGACTTTATCAAAAAATTATTATTTTAAGTAGTTTCACACTTTTAATCTTTAACTAAATACTAGAGTTTAATCTTCACCTTAAGTATAAAATTATAACTGAGAGAATCACTTTATTTTTATAAGAATCGACTGGATGGGAAGAAATTATGTCTCCTTATCAAATGAAAAAGAAATACAAAAGACTTGTCTTAATTTACCTTTTTAATGTATTATGCAACTTATCTTATTTAAATAATCTATACTTTGTCATTTTTTTTTTGCAAATACTTGTATAAATTTAATCAATCTCAACATATGAAATTATTATATAATACCAAAAAAGTTCATAGCTATAAATTTAAAGATTGTGAATTTAAATTGATACATCATACCATATTAATTATTTTTCCAGTAATTTATTTTATAACTTCTCTGTTTTAAAAGTGTTAATTTTTAAATTATTCTTGAAGAATAGTTTCAAATTTTTATTTATTTAATTCGTTCTTATATATTTATAATAACTTTATAAATATATCATTTTATACTTTATTTTTTTAAAAGACTATAAAATATAGTAGCAACATAAACATTTTTTAACTCATTATAGTCAACTTAGTAATTATACATAAGTTCATAGAGTTTTAATTTTGTTATCGTCTTTTAAAAAATTAAAGATATTATCGTCTAAAAAAAAATTGAAACCCTATGGGTGGAGGTGAACCGAGTAAACAAACTAGATCGGACTAGCGTGCTTACATGGATCACATTTTTTTTCTTATTTCATGTCCAACCCATTTAACTCAAACGCTAATCAACTTGTCTGCGAGCCAAATATAAATAAAGCTAAAAACAAACAAATCTAAAATTGATTGACAACCTATAAATTGTATCTAACATAAGACTAACTAAAAATATCGAAGTGTGTACATGGATTAATGAAACAGAAACATTTAAAAGAAAAGTTCATTTACATCAAAGAAACATTATAAATATTAAAATACTAACAAAATGTCAATATATGCTAAACACTAAGTAGTAAGTTATTGAAAAACATAATAATCTTAAACACAAATCAAATAATGTTAAGTAAATAAAAGTGTAAAAGGCTATAAAATAAAAATAAATAAATAAAAATGGTATACGAAACCTGTTCAACATGCTACAGGTAGTTAAAAGAAAGTTTATTTAACGTACCTGATTAGCAAAACCAACTCCAGAGCCAAGTAAGATCCTGCCAATGATGAGCATGGGAAGGTTTTGAGCAGCAGCATTGAATGCAACTCCAGCGATGAAGATGAAGCCTGAAATCAACATGGTGGCTCTTCTCCCCTGCCTTCGTGTGATATGCGACGCAAAGAATGTCGCCGTTAAACCCGCAAGGTACAGACACGACGTGAATAGCTGCAGCTTTTCGTTGTCGTATTTGCAATAGTTGCTTTCAACCTCTTTCTCTTCCACCGTCTTTCTGTACACCTCCGGAAAGAATTCTCTCAGGAATGCTGCCATCGATGTCACTCCACCTCCAAAATTAAATATATTTTTTTTTTTCATTTTAGCAAAACAAACCAACAAACTTTTTTCTTTTTCACATATTTATCTTTTTCCAAAATCTCCTTAAACAGTAAGGGTCACTGTCAAAAAATCATTATTCTAATTATATATATATATATATAACAGTACATCTATAAATTACCACGAAGTTAATACGTACGAAGGTTAAACATAGACGGTGAAGAAAAATTATCAATCTACACCTTACTTTTTAGTGCATGCATGGATGTAAATAAAAGATAAATAAAAAAGAAGAAAAAAGTTGGTAAATGTGACAAATGTGATGAAAAATAAAGGGAAAGATAAAATAGAAATGGGATGGTAAAGAAAAATGTATATTAATAATGGTTTCAAATGAGAGAAGGAATTGAATTGAATGAAGAAAGTATGAAATCATGCATTACCGGAAACGCCAACGTCGTATCCAAACATAAGACCTCCGGTAGCAGCCATTATGCATGAAATTATTACTATTGGAGTTATCTTTGCCTCTAAATCGCTGTCGCCTCCGCCAGCCATAGCGTGAAGAGTGTTTATCTTACTGTCACATATGCACTTGCCTTTACAATTTTATTTATAACCATTGAGGAAGAGTTTCACTTTGCTTTTTCTTTCTTTTTTTCACCCCACATCCCTTAACGAAAGATGGAAAAGTGACCCAGGTAATAAATAAATTAAACCCTAAACAAAAAGTTAAAATAAAATGTAAGGGTAAATGTAAAAATGGTGAAAGAATCAAGATGGGGTGAATTATAATAAATTTACTTTACTTAATAATTTAGTGTTTTACACTAAATTTTAATAATTTATTTGTTGAATTAAAAAATTTTAATATACAAATAAAGCTTATTAATATTATTAATAAATTATTAAATTATTCTATAAAATATTTTTATAATTATATATTAATTTGAATTAGTAAAATAGAGTATTAAAATATTTTTAAAAAAAATTAAAAATTTGTAGACTTAATTTATATATTAAAATTTTTTAATTTAATTATTGGATCGTTAAAATTTGATATGAAATATGAATTATTGAATGAAATAATTATATAAAAAATTATATTTAAAATTTAATACTTCATATTATATTTATAATTTTTTATATAAAAAGGAATAAATAAATAAATTAAATCTTTTCACTTTTCACCCCAAAAAAATGTCAAAGTTGAGGAAGGATGAAATGATGCATATTTATGAGTTAGAAGGTAACATGAAGATAGTATATACTTTATTCATTTAGAAGCCTAAATAGGTTGGATAGCCGCCACCTCTTGTATTATTATTCAATTCATTGTTTCATTGATCTTATGAACTTGAGAAATTAAAGTATACGAATGTCTCATGCTTTATGGTTCACATGCAAAAAGAGAATCATGTTGATGATTGGCCCGAAGGTTTCTCCTGTAGCTTACGTCTAGATATGCTTCATACTTTTATTAATTGGAATTTGGATATATATGTACCGTTCCCTTTTATAAGATTTTAGTTTCTTTCTTTCATAAAATGTTAAGAGTAGTTGGAGCTTTGTTTCTGATTAAAATAAAACTAGTATTTTTATCATAAAATTTACACATTAAATATTATCAAGTATAACTAAAATTTATAATAAAATAGTAGCTAGATTATATATAAATAAATATTATATTAAATAGATACATTATATTTAAAGTTTATATATGCATATATTTTTAAATGTTAATATTCTATTTTATATTTTAAATAAATAATTTATATTATGATACAATATTATTGTTAATTATCAAAATTTTAAAAATTAATTTATAAATGAATATAATAAATAAAATATTAAATTATTAAAAAGTTAAGAGAATTTCTAGATAGTCATACACTCACTGCCTTCCATTACAAAATACTCAACTCTAAGATAATCACTTACTCGAAATGACTTTGATATCATTATTGGACATCGAAGGTTCACATACACATATTTTTACATTAGTATAATATAGTCATATCTCAAAAGGTCTCATAAGAATGAAGAATATGAGTGTTTTATAAACACTTGTTTATCTCATAATCCAATAATGTGTTACTTTATTTGTATCCTAACAATTATAGTGATATTAAAAGTACAATTTAACCTTAAAAATAATTATTGTTCTTCTCATTCTATTTTGTTGCAATAAATTTAGATCATAAAATGATATCATAATCTTTAAATTATATTAAAGTTGTTTAAATTGTGATATTTACATTTTTATAAATTGTATTATCAAATTCACAAAAAAAAATATAGTAATGTCTTGTTTTTATATACATTTTAATAATATCTAAAATAGTATTACATTTCATAGAATATCACAAGTTATACAAATTATTTAAAATTAATTTAAAATTTGTGAAAGATATACAAATCACTTATATGAATATATTTATATAAAATTAATATTTTAGCCAATACAATTAACATGTTAAAAGCTTATTATATAATTAACAATTATAATAAATAAACTTTTATATGTAAAACATAAACGATTATAACGAACAAGAATATTATTAGAATCAGAGAATTTTTAAGAATTCTTTCAACTTCAAATTTTATTCAATTTTTATTTATCATAATTATTGATGAATTAAATTTTAATATTTTTGAAAATGATCAATAAATAAAAATAATCTTATATTACAATATAAATTGTTTATTATGAAATTAAAATATAATTATATATTTAAAATATCTACTATATATATAAATTACATTCAAATTATATTAACTATTTATATTCTAATTTTAAATATAATTTATATATTCAAATATAATATTTATTTATACATAATTTATTTTGAATTTTAATAATATATAATAAACATTTAACTTATACATTATACAAACTAAATATTTTAAATATATAAATCATATTTTAGATTTATGATAAAAAAATTATATTGTTACATAATATTATTTTTATTTATTAATATTTTAAAAATACAATAAAATTTAAATCACAAATAATTATGATAAACCAGAATTAAATTAAATAAAAAAAATTAAAATAATTCTAAAAAGCGACTCGGTAAAAAAAAAATCCTCTAAAAGTTTTAGCGCATGATAGTGGTTCAAAAACATCTATAAAAAATGATTGTCAGATGAAAAATAAAAACAACAGTACAGAATTAAAAAAATCGTTTATTATCAAATTAGATGAAAAATTAAATATATATAT